TAATTATACAAATTATTTATAAATTTAATTTCAAAGTCGATTATAGTAAATTTAACAATATTGTATCTGCTTTTGAGTCTTGCCTCAGAAAGGCATTGTTGGCTGATTTGAAGTCTACCATAATTTCCTACCATAGTCCATATAATATATCAAACATTCAGATCAAGACAGCTTTCTTGTAACATTTATCATGATTCTTGTTAGACTCGACACCTTGCAATAAACTTTTGAGATTGGGGCATGTATGTATAATATAAATAACGTTTATATACTTTAAAAAATTATTTATTTTATGGACAATTGTAAAAATGCCACTTTTGATGTATACATTTACAAGAATGTCACTTAGAGGTGTTTATTTGCAAAAATAACATTAATTATAGATTTTTAAAACTTAAATCTTCAAATTATAAACCCTAAAAAATGTTTTAACCCTTACAACCCCTAAAATCTTCGAAACTAAATCATAATACAACATAGTTAACCCAAATATAAATGATGAAAAATGGTGATATTTTTTAAAATTTCCATTTATTTATTTTAGTTAAAATAGTCGTCAAATCGGTGGTCATGACAACGACAAATAGAGTTTGTACAAGTATTCACGTATGTCCTCCTTGTAACAAAACAACGAACATTTATGACAAAAATCAGCTTCGATGTTAGCGTTTACTGTTCGAGGACTTTCTGCATAGTTCAAAGAAAGAGCATTTCCTTTTAAGCTAGGTTTTGCCATGTTATTCGATACACTTACAAACAAAAAAAATATAAATTAAAAATAAACCAAACGACTTAATTAAATATTATGATACATATTTATCCCTTAGTAAAACGTACATGATGAAACCAAGATTAGACGAGTTAGAAAACAAACAATTGTCTTCATGATTTCGACATTTTTTTGTTTTCAAGAAAAGTAGTACTAAATATGTTTGCTATCGCCTTGAGTTACTTGCAAAGTTATTGAGGTTAGATGGTCATATTTATACAGTATCTATGTTTTACTTATGTTACAAAATAGTTAATGCTCTAATCAACGTTTTTTTTTTCTTGCTCAACAAAAAAAAATCAACGTTTTTTTCTATAAATGATAATTACAGAAACCATAGTCCTTTAAATTATAGTTTTAATTTTAAAGTAGTAATGAATAAGGTGAATTACCTTAATATTACTTTTGAAGGATATAATTAGGTGACTAACAGAGAAATAAAACTTTCAGACGAAATTGTCCTTATTAAATTTGCTAAAGAATTTC